AGGACAGTCTACAACAGAGACTTGAGCATCAGCAAAGTTCTCTTTAAGCCCTTTCTGCAAAACTGTAATAAAGAATAATAAAAAATCATTGACAATGGAAGAGTCTGACAAGTTTCTAACAACAATAAACCTATCTGTTTGGGTTTTATTTCTGCAAGATACATTACTTATGCTTATCCTAAGTAACTCCATTGATTTTAACGTCTGCAGGTATTGTTACATTACTCTGAGCTTCAGACAGGAGCAAAAGTTTGTTCAGATAATTGTTTGCCACATTAATTAAAAATTTAAAAAAACATGTTCATTGAAATACATTGACTGACTGCTCCAAGTAGCACTAGGAGCAGCACAATGTGAAGTAAAACAGGTAAACTTCAATCACATTCAGCAGTGGGTTTGTTTCAAAGAGCAGACAATTATGATAACAGTCAAGTATGATGCAAGAGCAAAGGAGGAAGCAAGATTTAGCTGAGGCAACAATCAGTTCTTTACATTAACCAGACGGTTTGCAATAGCTTGATTGTAATCTCAAAATGTCTCTGCTGTCTGGAAATTTCTACTGCCATGGGATACTGCCTATCCATGTTTATGCTCTTGTGGAGATTTTCTGACAAGTGCCACTATCACAACAAGACAGATAATGAATGGTGTTGGTGATAATGAACCAGATCTAAAAATTTTGTTTTGCTTCATATCAATGCTTTTTAGGCTCAGAACTTGCAAAGTCACTCAAACAACAGGGAGGATTAGATGAGTCCATTGTTTGGAAACAATTTCCAAACCATTAGTGTGGCATTGTCTTCAGGTACACTGCTTCAAATAGTGCTGTTGAAAGGTCCAGGTTCTTTCATGCCTGAGGGTCTGCTTTGACAGACACCTCAAACTAAAGAACAGAACATGCAGCCTGTGATCTCAAATCAGGCGGTTCCTTATTTATGCAGAACACTTTGCTGTGCCTGTGCCTTTGCCTCCTCCACTTAGGATTTCAACCAGACATTACTTCTCAAGATCAGATTTACCAAGCTGTTGACCAAAAGGGTCAGTAGCTGGTACTTGGTACATTTCTAAATACATCTCAGTACCTTCTCATAAGTGGACAAAGACATTCAAAGGGCACTCCTCAAATCATACCCAAAATCTGAATAGCAACACAATTCCCAGCTTACTGGAGATCCTCAGGACAGACAGGGACAAAAGGAAAATTCTGCTTTGTGATGAAATTTTGCTGATACTCTTTGAAGCTGTTCTACTGCAAGTACATGGTGTTCTCTGCAGAGCTTACAGGTCTACAGCAGTGCTGGCCTACTGCCCCAGTCTGGCTGGGTGAGAAGAGCACTGAGAACCACCCAGGGCACTGCTGGGACCACATATTCTCTCCATACACAGAAATGTCAAACTAACACACAGTCAGGAAAGTGGCAGACTGAACTTGAGGATCAATCCGAAAGACAAAAAATCTTAGTATATCTGCTGCAGGGGAGAGACTGCCTGAAGGAATAATGTCTTCCTGCTAGGGCAAGAAATGAAGCTCATGAGGCTGAACCTAGAAGTCCCCTACAACCTCATCCACTCTGTTATTCCGAGCACATCTTACAAATGCTTTAGAAAGAAGTGAAAGAAGATGTTTCCTGCAGCCCTGTTCTAAGGTAATCACAAAAGGAGGAGTCAACTAGGTTCAAGCAAGAGGATCTGCCATGCTACACTGCATCTTGTCAGCTATTATTTTGAGCAGTCCTGAAAAAGAAAGAAATACTAGAGGGCAGAGGAGGACAGATGATTCTATATGTGTAAAGAAGTTTGCTGTGTAGTGCTTAAACTTTCACAACCTGCACAGAAATCTGCATCTGCAGCAGTTTTAAAGGGATTGAGATACTGGCTGTGTGATTAAATATTTTGGGGGCTTGGGGGCGGAGTCATTGTTTCCTCTAAGGAAATCATCACATATAGAGAAGCAATGCTGTTCTTTACATCTCAGTGTGCTAAAAGCAGGAATTCTGCATGTACTAGCTGTAGAGAGACTTTGGTATGAGCTTTAAGATAAGTTTGAAGAGTACATTACAAGTTTGTATAAAGTCACGTGTCACATTACTTACCCCCAGCAAGCTCTTCCAGACTTGGGACATGAAAAGCAAACCTTTCGACTTTGGCCATTTCCTAAACCGTGCTGATTTCTTCAGGTAAGAAGTTACAGTGCAGTACTCTGCAGAGTGACTGGTCTGCCAACAAAGATAATAGTTGAACAATTTAAATATGCTCCTTTCAACACGTTAATTATTTTTTAATTTCACTCAAGAATACATAGAAAAAATAGAACTGTAGTTCTGCAATCAAAGGAGAGACTGACAGTTTCAATAGTAATGTTAAATTTCTTATGCACTTTGGAAGAAGATGTGTCTGTCAGTGCTATAGCTGGCTCAGAGCATTACACATATTAGTCCTCAAGCTGACAACTGGGTGTAGGGAAAACACATCCTATGCTGAATGCAGTTCAAGGGATCAGGAGATTTGGGTGTATTTTTGTAAGCCTGGAGTCACAAGAAAGCTTTGTAAGAAACCTGAGCTTTTCTGAGCACAACAGCTACCTCCTAAGGTCTTCCCAACCTTAATGTTTACTTTTCCAGCATTGGCTGTGGTGGACTTTCAACCCCAGCTATGACATGGTCTCAAATTGATTCTGGGCATGTGTTTCCCCTTCCAGAGAACAGGCTAGCAGCAAAATAGAAATCAACAAGCAAGTTCTGCAGTATCAGGCTCTGTATGGGTACAGAGCCTGTAACAAAAAGTTTTGAACAAGAGTTTAAGAGCCCCTTCACAAATGAGCTGTACTTCAGTCAGCCTTGCAACAGCAAAGCCAGCCAGAAGGGCAAGCTGCTAGCTCAGGGGAGAAACAACTTTACACTACTAAAACTTAACTGCAGCAATCATTAACTCCTTAGGCACATACTTGCAGTACACAACAATGAAAAATAAAATGGGTCCCATTTACCCAGATCTCAGGTGTTAAAGGAAAAACCCAAAATCCTAACTAAATTCCTAGACCTGAGTCTTTGTTAGGAAGGACTACAGTGTGAGACAGCTGCTTATGTATAGTTCTAGCTTCTGTTTTTAAAAATTCCTAACTTTTATGACTGTCATAAAATGTAACTGTCTTTACACCATCAGCCTCTTTAGTTTGTATAAAGGAAAAAAAGAATAAAACAGTGGAAAAAAAAAAAGAAATAAGGAGCGTGGGGAGATCATTGCAATCACTTAACTTAAATCTTTGACCTCAGTGCTCAGCCACCCCAAATTACTGCTGTAGCAAGCAGTAGAGAAAGGAAGAAAGACTGCAACCTATGTATAGTAATTCTCATCTTAGTTGGTGCTATCTATCTCCACAGTTGATTTCATCCCTTTTCTGGCTCTGGAGGAGAAAGTAGCAGGATTTGGTGCCTCTGGTAGAAGCCTAATGTCAGGTGGAGTGAATCATACCTCAAGACTTTTAGTGTGCACCAAGAAAAGGAATAATTAGCCATAGGCAGAAAGTGAGAACATGGCTTTGCCAGCATTGTTTTAGACAATCCTCACCCCCTCAACAACCTTCTTCCAGCACTCAAAATATTGGTTGTCCTGAAACAGTCTGAGAAGACAAGCTAGAACTGCTGTTGTGCAAAAGGCAGAGACAAGACTTTTATGGTATTCAAATAAGTTAGCTCCCCACAATCAAGAAAGGAGGGAAAGACTGGAAAAAATTTGATGTACCATAATAAACCCAATCTGATTGGTAGACAGTAGTTCTTACCAGGAAAGACACAAAAGAGTAGATCTATGGCCCACCACTGCAAATATTCACAGGAGAGTGAATTGTGTGGTGTGGGACAGAGAGAACCTGAGACAACAGCACACAATTAGTATCCATCACAGAGAGGTGCAGTGACACTGAATTGCTACAGAAGACTTTCAAAGAAAGAACACAAATGCTAAAGGGATGATAAAATTATTATAGATGTGGGATGGTGCAACTAGAATGGAGGCAACAAGTATGTAAAGACTTAAAAGTCTACCTTTGAAGTGGGAAGAAAACATTAGCGAGAGTAGCCAGGTGCCAGAACGCAGATGAAATGCGAACCATTAGATTAATTATGTGTGGGGGGTATATATTATCAAAACCTGAACTGACATTAGCTTGGAGGGTTAAAGCCAGAAAGGAGAGGTTATATGCAGGCTAGACATGAGTTGGGGACGGGGGTGGTGGGGGAAGAAAAATGACAGAAAAAATTGAAGATGGCAGTTGCGAGAGAGAAATTTAGCTATGACACCAAGAAGAGCAAGACATCCACAGATGCAGAAGCCGTATTTTTCGCCTGGGTCGGCGCGAGGAGATCCCGTACAGGGCAGAGGAATGCTGCGGGGCAGCAGAAGCAAATGCTTGAGCGGCCGGGATTTGGGGAAGGGACGCGCAGGGTATTAACAGGCGTGCTAGGCAAGGCTGCGGTCCGTAGGGACAGAGAACATCCCGGCAGGCAAAGGCAGCGAAGAGTACTGGCGGGAGGGAGCGCTAAAGCCGGCAGCACGCCTGGAATGGCTGCGAGGGGAAGAAAGGGGCTGTTCAGGCTGGAGCAGCCAGCTCGGAGGAGCCTGGGCAGCGCGGGGAAGAGCAAGCAGGACAGCAGGAACGGGAGCCTCTCACCAGGCGGGAAGTCGAGGGAAGCCGGGACCTGCCCGATCTCTGCCACACACCGACCGCCGCTATCGCCCGCCCGCACCTGCCCTGCCGCCTGGCACTGGCGAGGCACGGCACGGCACGGCACGGCTCGGCTCGGCACCGCTCGGCACCGCCCCGCCCCCGGGCGCGTCCGCCCCGCTGCCACTCCCAGCATAGCGCTGTACGCCATCCTCCTTTCCCTCCTTCCCATCGGCCCGCGCGCCTGTCGCGAGAGCTCAGCGCTATTTAAGGTGCGGGGCGGGAAGAACCCGCCTTTTGCGGTGGGGCGGTAGTGGGCGCCGGTATGTGTGTCGGGGCTGGCGGATCCGCCGCCATCCGCGCTGCTGGGGCCCGGGACCGAGCGACCCGGGGATAGAGGGACAGTCCGGGCGGTGCGCAGCCGTGCCCCGAGGGCCGAGGCGTGTGGCGGTGCGTGAGGGGCCCCGCGGGAGCGGTACCGGCGTGGTGCCCCCGGCCCACGGTGACTTGGCGCTTGCCCGCATTCGAAAGGCCTTCCCGTGGCGCCGGCCGCAGCGCGCTGCAGGCATCCGAGCCTGGCGATGGGGACGAGCGGTTTGCCTGGCGCCTTTGTCAGGTTCTTCAGCAAGTTTAGATGATTGTTTTTCTTCCCTAAGGGATCTGCGTGCTGTTCAGTGCTCCAGGCCGGGGCTGCGGTAGAGGCCGCGAAGGATGCTGAGCTGCGACTCGTGAGTACTAGGCAGGGCCTGTGCGGTCCGAGTGGCATTACTGCCTTTGTCCTGGCTCTGGCGTTGGTTGGTTTTCTTTCTGGGCTTAGTGTTTATCAGGCCTTGCGTGTATTAGTGTTATTGATGTGCCCGCATAGGCATAGTGAAGCTGGTGCATGAGGGTCTTTCTTGTTGTGAGGGGCCCAAAGTGGAACACAGCATTCAAGATGAGGCCTCAGCAGTGCCGAGTACAAAGGGACACTCCTTGCTTTGCTCCTGCTGGCCACACCATTGCTGATCCAGGCCAGGGCACCACTGGCCTTGGCCACCTGGGCACACCCTGGATCATGTTCAGCTGCTGTTGACCAACACCCCCAGGGCCTTTTCTGCTGTGACCCAAGTGCAGGACCTGGCACTTTACCTTGCTGAACCTCATTCACCTGGCTTCAGTCCATCAATCCAGCCTGTGCAGACATTGCTGCAGAGCCTTCCTGCCCTCCAGCAGGTCAGCATTCCCACCCAAACTGGCGTCATCTGCAAATTGAATGAGGGTGCACTTACTCCCCTTTTTAAAGTTGTCAGTGAAGGCTTAAACTGGTCTGGCCCCAGCACTGATCCCTGGGGTACATCACTTAAGACCAGCTACCAGCTGGATGTAATTCCATTCACCACTGTCAAGGCCCTCTCAGCTTTTCATGCAATGAACAGTGCATCCATCCAAGGCATGAGCAGGTGGTTTCTCCAGGAGAATGCTGTGAGAAATGGTGTCCAAAGCTTTACTAAAGTGCAGGCAGACAATATCCACAGCCTTTGCCTCATCCACTAAGTGGGTCACCTGGTCATAGGAGGAGATCTGGTAGGTCAGTTGGGACCTACCTGTCCTAAATTCAGGCTGGCTGGGCCTTATCCTTTGATTGACTTGCATGTGCCCTCAATGATCTGCTGCAGGTTATGTGAGGACATTGGATGAGTTCTGCTATAGTGTCTTCAGATACTGAACTGTGTGTAATTCCATTTGAAATATTACTGAGTATTACAATGAGTTTTAAAAACTTACAAAAGGAACGGCTCTACAGGGCTAGTAAGTGAATTGACAAGCAGGTAAAATAACTCCAGGCTGTCACAGAGGAAAACCAGGTTCTTTTGCTGTATGTTCTAGTCCCTTTTGTATAGATTTGGGCCACTGAGGAGCTGGATTGTGTTGTCTTGCAGATTCAAGTGAAAATTAATATTTTAATTCTGGGGCTGGTCTATTATGATTGATAACCAGTGAACAAATGGTTGATGAATTGTTAAGAGCAGATTTTAGGTAACTGACAGCTCACAAAAGAACAGAGGGAAGATGGCATTGCTTCTCATGATGACACTGTCTTGGATTAATTTAAAGGTTTTAAACGACAGCAAGTATTTATGTATGACTAGTATATGAAACCATTGCCTACTTGTATGTGTGCTTTTTTGGAGGAAAACTTACCTCTAGTAGGGAGAGGGTTAAAACATTCAGAATTAATCTCAGTAAGTCTCTGAACAATCTGTTGCACTACTGATTCTTGCCTTCCTTTGGGCAGGAGCTGAACTAAAAAGACTTTAAAAAATTATCTGATCTCAGTTTTGCTGTGAATATCTTTAGGTTAGTGGCTGTGACTTAAATGTTAATATAAAGAATATAACCGGTCATGATTCATAGGAGAATCTCTGCTCAAGTTTGCTCAAGATTGTTCTTGTAAATTTACCCTGTGATCATGAGTGGAGTAGAGGAAAGTTTGGTACCTGATTAATGTTAAATTTTATTTAGTTTCTTGAATTCTCATTGCTTTTTAGGGCAAACTGAAACATGACTGATACAGATGAATCCCATGCTTCTGGCTCTGATTACCCTGATGCTCAAGAGCTGATCAGCCATCAGCAGAGGGAGCCATCTGAGGTGTATTCATGGCAAAGGAATACAGGAACACAGCGTTCGGAGTCAAGGCAGAAAGCGGCTGCTCTTGGGGAGTCTTCAGATCATCCTAACAGCATGTCTAAATCATCAGCAGCTTCAGCTGAGGTTTTACTGATTAGCAGTGATTCAGAAACGTGAGTTTTTATCTCTAGTTCAGAATTTTTCCTGTGGAGAACCTGTCTAATGTATCTTATGTATCATAAAAGTGTACCTTCTTTTGAAAGTAAATACTTTTTTCTTCTTTAGTGATGTCTCTGCTTCTTATCCGGAGTGCTCCATTGCACCTTCAAAGCAGAAAAGGAGATCTCAGTCTTCAAGGCAACAAGCTGAATCTGTTACAGGAGTACATGGCAATGAAAGCTCCTCAGATTCTTCTCTGTCTCCCCAAAGTCCAGCTAAATCATTGGAAGGTTCCAAGCAGCAGAAGTCAAAACTCAATTTGAAGGCCATTTTTGCCTATCACTTCAGGGGAAGGAAGTTCAAAGCAGCTGCACACCGAAAATACAAAATTCACTCAAAGAAGAAAAAGAAAAAGTATGAGAGCACACAGATGCCCACAGGGAGGCCCCCACTGACAGCCTCACCTCAGGAACAAAAAAGGAGGATTTTGGACAGAGGTTTTCAATTCCCTTTTGTTGAAGAACATTATGGGAAGAAACATATTCCCTTAAAGATGGTTCTTGGCTATGAGGTAAGTCCTCTGTTTTGTAGGATAAATATTTTCTTAGTCTAAAAGTTGAATTGAAATGGACTACGTTGTGCTTCTGCTAGAATAAAACAATGAAACAGGTTTTAGTTCCGTTAAACAGGTCACTTGATGTAGGTTTAATAACTTCAAAAGCAAACACGACATGAATATATATGGGTATTGATAGAATGTTACAATTCATTTCTTAATGTGAATCTTGTGAATCATAAGATCTTACTGAGATTTTTTTTTTCTACAGCAAGCAGCTGCAAAGGGATTTTTCAAGTATATTGAAGTGCTTAAATATGAGGAGCATCTTAAAAAAGCTTTAAAAGCCCTTCAGGCCAGTGACGACTTAGAAAAAGAGTGTGTGGTGTTACGGAAACACAAATACTTAGATGATGAAGGCCCCATTTCCCCTATTCAGGAGACAGAGTAAGTTTATCTTTACTTACTCTTTTGTGCTTAACTAACATATAAATGTGTGTGTGTATCAAGTTCAGTTGTTCTGTCCTTTTAACCTATGAAAGCATTGTTTATTCTGGGAACAAAGCACTCTACCACTTGGGATTCTGTATTTGTAGATGTGACTTAAAAGTTCTCACAGAAGGAAGTATTTTTAATTTGATCTGAAGACTGATAATTGTTGGTAGAAATTGAAATGAAGTATTTCCTGAAATGCACTCCTCTAATGTTATCCCAAATAAAGTACAGTATTCTGAAATAAAGACTAAAGGATAGTTTTTAATATCTTTTTACATTTTTTAAAACCAAAGTGCCATCTTTGGTCTTTAGGGTCAAGAAATTAGCTTAGTGCAATAAAAAGACTGGTAAATCAGCAGGAATACTTGCTGTTGTAAATAACTTTTAGCAAGCCTAAAAGGCAGTGTAAAAGTACAGTGCTGTTATTCAGTTACTGCTCACTTAAGGGCTTGCAGCTTTTACACATTTTAAGGTACTATAAAAGTACACGGTTTGATCTAATTTTTTTTTTTTTCAGTGATGATGACAGCTTGAATTCTGATACTCAGGAGCAACTTGATGCCAGAGTAGTGGTAAGTAAGCACTCTTGAACTTAAGAAACACTCTAGCCTTTCTGTTCCAAAACTAAAGAATTCGTAGGTAATGTCTTTGGTATTTAGTTCTTGAGCTTAGATCCAGAGTTAATAGTGACCTCAGTGAATCCTGATCTGTTAATGCAGAAGGAGGTTGATAGTGCACACTCTCTTTAATGTAATGCTGAAATGTATAGGAATCCTGCAGTTCTCTGTGGAGTTCTTAAAATCTGCAAATTCACTACTAAAATCTGAAGTATTTTGAAACTAGACTTGTAACTACTTCTGTCTTCCATTTTCTTAGGAGAACAGCTCTTTCATTCTAAGTAGCACAATTCCCAGTAGAAAAAAGTCAAAGCCAGGAGGAAAACATGCAAAACCACCTGAAGTGATTGAAATAGTGGATGAAGAAGATGGTGCTGAAGACAACTCGGTGCCTCTGCAAGGCTCACCTCGGTGAAAAGCAGATGAACAAATGAGGTGGCAGTGGTTGTTCTTCAGATACCTCTTTCATGAACCTCTTTGGTTTAAAAAATTGGTCTGGAGTCAGTTTTGAGCTCTCCACACAGCTGCCTAGGCACGTTTGGCTTACTGTGAGTATATTGGGCTTGTGTCTGAGACAGTTACAGAAACAGAAAAACTTGTCCTCATGCTAAGCTTTTAAATGTATTCTGTGCTATTCTTGATCAATATACCTGGTTCAGTGGCTGATGATCTTGGTGAAATTCTGGCTTCTGCAACTTGACTTCTGTTAACCAATGGATCATTGAATTTACATAATTAAAAATGGGAAGACAGGTTCTAAATATTTTAACAGAACAACAGCACAGGATAGAAAAGTATATATATTGAGCATGCAAACATCTGTATGCTCAAGTTAAAGGGGCAGTTTAGGTGCCTTTCTTTAGCAGATTTCTTTGTGGGTGATACTTGAGAGATTTGTTTTTCTGCCTTAGAGGTGCAGGTTTGAAATACTTTAAAAGTTAAAGGGTTGAAGACAGAACTGAAGCTTAATGCAAGTCAAGTGCCAATAAAAATGGAGAAGTAGTTGGTCAATTTTGACAAAAGCCTGTTGCAAAATGTGGTTAATGCATTTGAACGATAATAAAATCCAATTTTGTATGATTGAGGTTGTTCATTCCATGTGGAATAACTTCTCAGAAAACTAATTTTCTGCCCTTCATCTAACACAATAATCTGATGTTGTAAGTATAATCTGTAGCAGTATAGTGAATCTTGGGTTAAAAATTTTTTCCCCTCTTGCCCTCTTCTGTCCAGAATGGCTTCTGATGTGAATATGTCTTCTTAGCAGAAGCTAAAATCTCTTTATGAACAGTACTTACCATGCATTGCCCCAATTGCAAATGCCTCTCTCAAAGGTGTTTAAGTCAGTATGAAACATGGCTAGTGTTTAGAAAAGTGGTCTGGATATCACTGATTCTTACTGTGCAGCAGTTTTGATGGCCGAACTAATAAATGTTTAAAATGTTCATTTGTGTCAGCAAGATTTAAAAACTAGTCAACTCACAGCCTCATTCAGCTACTCTTAACCAGCTAGCTGACAGCTGTTCAGCATGTAATCTGTGCTGAACGAGTGTGTAGTCAGAAAAAGGCTTTGTCTGCTGGTTAAATTTCCTTCAAATGCAACTTACAGTCTGAGGAGATTTGCACTAGGTGCTCAATATTGAGAGCAAGTCAAGCTGTGTTACTTACATGCTTTAATTAGGGTCCCAAACCTTAGTAAAGGAAGTTGCCCAAATGCAGCTTGATAGCTCTAGGACTGCAAAAATTACTTCAGCATTTGAAGGTCACAACTAAAACCAGTCCAGAATTAATGGCTAAATGTAACTCTTCCAGGTGTGTCCCTGAGAAATACTCAATGGCTTGAAACACTTATCCGGGATCTAGGAGTGGGGATAGTGAGGGGCACATGGAGTCCTGCTCATTCTGCAGTTCATGTGATGAATTTGGGTGTTCAGCTGCTGGGTGACTCAGAAATAAATTAAATTTCAATTCCAATTAGAACTGGATAAATATACATGAATATTAAGCTTATTACATCTACTAAATTGATTGTTGAAATCTAGCTTTGGGAATCTTCAGTTATTTTTGACTGTATGTATATGACAGTTCTTAGCACTTTGCTTTTCTTTCCCTTCTAGTTTATGTTGCTTTTGGAAGATGAAATAGCTCTTGGTTTTCTTGCTGCACAAGGTAAGCTGTTACTTGAGTTTCAGTTTTGTTTTCTTCAGATAGCTTTTTTTTTGGCGTTATTTCACAAAAGATTTTTAAAAAGCAAGTGCTCCATAGTTAAAGTACATTACAGTGCTCCCCAGCTGAGCAGCCTGTGTATGTGAAGCTTCCAAGGTATAAGTTCAGTACTACATACCTTTCATCAGTCTGACCAAATTTAGAGCCTGTAGCCTCTCTTTGAACAAAAACTTGAGTTCTTGAATACTTCAAAGTGCAGTTTTTGTTAAAAAATGAAAGTTTTACGTGATATTGAATGCTGCAGGGCAACATTATCTGATTTGGTTTGGACAACACTGTTTGGAATTTTCTCTGCTGAAGATTAAGGGATACTTTCCCCTCAGTATCTTCATGGTGCCTCACCCACCCTTTCTGTGCTAGGGTGTATTATAAAGCTGCAGCTTCTGGTGGCTTCCCTGTGGTAAAATTCTATCTTAATTCATATCTCTTGCAAGAACAGGAGGGACAGCAGAGAGCAGCTGGTAGTCTTGCATGTATGTGGCTGTGAAAGCTTCTTACAAGTTTGCATGGCTTGGGACAGTGTAGGAAATAGCATGGAAGAAAGCACCTTGTAAGGATACAGCATAGGAAAACCCCTTTGACATGGGAAACACTGAGCTGAGGGTGGGTGAGGAGGGAAACCTTACAAGATAGGAACAGAGATCTCACTTGGCCGTTGCTGTAGGTAGAGAACTGCACTAGGAAGCACATAGGGTTGTTCTGAGGAGGGTTTGTGAGATTCTGAACTCCTCACCACAATTACCTGGGTTCAAGCTACCTGTCTCTAGAACTGGAAGCGGTGGTAACTGTCAGTTTCCTCTACTGCTAACAGTAAGTATATGGTCAATTTCCCAATTGAAGTGGCTTCAAATTCTGCTTCAAAAGTAGTAAAAAAATGAATGTGTTCAGTCTGTTCCAGCACTTGATCAGGTATTGTCTTTTGCTGTAGGCAAAAACCTGGAACCTAGTGCTTAGAAAAAACCCTTCTTTTGCAACCCACAGCTGATTAATGTATTAGTTGTGTTACTTATATGAAGGGACAATATTTGCATGGCCTCAAATACCATTCATTCATTCAAATACTGATTAATCTAGAGTTTGGTGGTCTAAATTTTCAGAAATGTAGCTTGGTTGTATCTTTGCAGATGAGCACACAGTGCAGCAGCAGTTGTAACTTTTTGGGGATCTCTTGAATTCTTAGGGCTGTTTGCTGACCTGATTCAGGAATCCATTACTTGGGTGGACATCTGTGCAACATGGTGTAGCAAAAGAGGTGAGCTTTGTGTTTCTTCTGAGCTTCAGCATAAGACTGTTGGATTTCTTCAGTGTAGTGCTATTTCCACAGCAAGTAATCAGACTAATTTGTGCACTGTATGGTATCTGCACCCAGCAGTGTCTTCCTGATGCGGTGTTCAAAAAACAGTGCTACAGTATTTCAACAGCTGGCATCGTTGGTTTTCATGCAGATGTGCTGGTTAAACTTGGTATTTCTGTTGAAACAAGTAGATTCTGTGTTTCTTAGTTGGGAAGCTTTTCAAATACAATATCAAAGAACTGCTAAACTGTTAATGGAATAAAAGTATAGTTAAACTAGTGACATTGTTCCACAATATTTTTTCCTAAAGGGGCATTCCTGTGATGTGTGGAACAGATTGGAAAACCTCTACACAAGTGTAAGTATTGAGGAAACAGATGTTTTTTTTCCTAGGTGGAGGTAGTTGTATGAAGATAAAAGCTGAAGTCTTAACTTCTTAGCTGCCTTTTGACAACAAAAAAAAAGTACTCTGTTTTGAAACACAAATCCAGGATCCAGATGACCACTAGAGACAGGTTTATTTCCAAGTTACCTGTCTAGGCTTAAAACCCAGGCTGTTCTAAAGACATTGGGGAGTTTTTATGCCTCGTTCTTCAGCAACTAGACACAACCTGCTGTGTGTCTGAATTGGAAAACGTGGCTAGAAGAGTAACAGGTTCTGCTTTCCTCACTGTACACTTAATTGCAGTGGTGACAATGAGACCTGTAACAAGTTCACTTAGTGGAACAGTTCTGCAAATATACTTAAAAATGCAGCTGCTATGAAATACAACTATAAACTTGAGTTGATGTGCTTCAATTCTGCATCCTATGTACTAAAAGAAGTAGAATTAGCAGGTAGAGGAAAAATACTTGCAGTGCTGAATTCTTGTAGATGGTTTATTAAAAAGCATATTTTTAAGGTGTCCTAAAATGGTCTCTTCCATGCCTTCTTTGTGAGAACTTCCTTAGTTTTACCTTTTTGTGGCATAGTGCTCCAGTTTTTTCAACTGCAGATAGATCTTGTTGGTAGCTGTGTGGTAAACTGAGCTGTGGTTTGATTGCAGATAAAATGCTTTGTTGTGTTATCAGTATTCAGCCAGTGTAACTGGACTACTGGCCGGCTGGCTTCATACTGAGATAAAAGCACCCAAGTCTTGATGAACTGCTAAAATACTGAGGAAACTTGAAAGTATTACTTAGATACAACAATTTACTTTATTTTAGGAAGTGCACCTGAAGTCCAGTCTGAACTAGCATCTTGGTAAGTTTGTGACTTTTTTTTACCTCTGCCTGTTTCAGGTCAGCCATGTGTCTTGGTGAGCTGCTTATACTGCTGCTCCTTTCTTACTGAGAAAATCCAGTGGTGTTTCAGAAAACATGAGAGCTTATCTTGCCCAGACTTGAGAATGCTGTGAGAAAATTGTTGTGATGATTGGCAAAATGTTCAACTGCTCTGAAGAGAGTGAGTGAGAAGAGCCTTTCTGAACAGATCTACTGAGTACTGTTGTAGGTTCTGCTGATTTGTATGCACATACATGCTGATTTGTAATATTACTTGTTTTTTTCTGGTGGCAGGTCCTTAGAGAAAGTGAAGGAAGAAGAAATACAGGATGCCATTTCACAGAAGTCTGAAGCTGATTTGAGGGTTAGTGTGACATGTGAAGTTCTGCATATACCTGAATGAGGTGCTCTGATTGTCAGTAGGCCAGAAGCCTCTCAGACCAAGCTTACTAATTTGTGAAAGTTTCAGGGACTGTTGTCAACATTACACTACTGTATCTTAATAATGGTTCATTCATTCTATTATGTGAAGAATTTATTCTAACTGAAGTTTGCTCAAAGAATGTTCATATCGATTTCTCAGGTAAAAATGAGGTGAGCAGGTTAACTGCTTAAACTGATAGTTTTGCATTGACCAGAAAGTTACACTTGGTAGGAAATTTATAGTGAGGATTCTGCAGAGTTCTGTAGTTAATTCCCTTTAACATTTACTTCTCGGGTACCTTAACTTGTAATTAAAAACTTGATGATATGAAGGAGGTGCTAGTGTATCTTTACCATCTTTCTTCAAAATGTCTTGAAACAACATAAAATGACACTGGAATCTGTACCAAATTTCCTTCCAGTCTGCTTGTTTTTTATTTATCTCTTGTGGTAATTAATAGTACCAGAAGTGTTGAGGTCTATCCCGATGGGATCTTTTCTGTAGGTTCATGTCGTTGGAAACGCCTCACAGAATAAACTTGTGGTTTGGCTTTACCCACTTAACTACCTGTTAGCTCTGTGGGATAAAACTGCAAGACAAATCTTAGAGTAGATTCCAAGGAATGCAGGGATGGCCAGTGTTCTTCTTTAGGTGTTCTGGAACATGCTTGGGATACAAAACAAAAAGTCATTCATGTGGAAAAGCTTGGTTGGAATCAAGTCAGTGTTCTGAGACTTGGGTGCAACTGACCTTCTGAATTACATAGGCTGAATTTAGTCTTTGGCCCAGGCTTTTGTGTAGGCACCTGACTTGTAACACAATGTTTTGCTGCTTGTTTTCTAAATGGCTTGAAACAGTCTGTTCCTCCTTTAATCACGCAGGAGTGATTATTGTTTCTTGTTTCAGTGGCTATAAGAAGAGACAGCACTTTGATGTCTGCTGTGAAGTAACTTCATGAACTTGTTGCATTTTTGTTTTGTATCAAGAGGTGTTCTACAGTTTCATACTGAGCAGCAATATTTGGGTTATTTATTCAAGTATGGGGTTTAAAGAGTTAATTTCTGAGCAGCTCAAGCCAGCTTACTGCTATACTGTTGAAATCCCTGGATTCTGTTCTGTAGAACAAAGAGTTGAAAGCAAAAGAAGCAAAGCACTCTGGAAAAAGTAAAAATATTCACATAGAAAAATTCTGAAGCTGCTGTTCATGTTAGTCTGTTGTCCCTTTCAGCTGCATGGCAGTTTGGTGAAGAGTACCTTTTAGTCCCTGACACCCAGTGGTGCATGCACGAAGCTCATATGTAAAATTCAGCTGTTGTGGTTGGGGGGTGTGTAGCTGTTGCAGTGTTCCAGTACCTGCACCCAGCAGCTTTCTCCTGGTGGGATGGTCAAAAAGCAGTGCTACACCAGTGCAGCATTTGGTTTGGTGTCCTTGGTTTTCATTCTGCTGTTTGTTAAACCTGGTATTTTTGCTGAAACAGTCTAATCTCTTCAGAGACTTCAGTGTACTTACTTTCTATTTTCGTGTAACTTCATTTTGATTATCCATGTGACAACTGGCTCTACTGGCCTCTGGAACTCAGCAGGTGCATCCCAATTCTTTCTAACCAGGTGCCTGATGATACAGAACAGAGTGAACTGCCCTGAGTTAAAAAAATGGAAGGAACCTGTTTGACAGGTAAGCACTCAGTTACTAGTTCCATACTATTTCACAGTTGGTGTATTAGCTTTGTATGACTGTAAACATGGGGAACTACTAAACTGTTGTAGAACTAAGTGTAGAAATGATGTAGTACCAGAGATTGCTGGGTAGTGATCACTGCAGGTGTTGGCAGTATCTGCGTAGATCACTCATCTGTGAGTCATTCCTTTGTGTGTGTATACATATTTTAAATTGCTGTCACAGTTGTGCAGCCATCTGTAGTACTGGTGTCTTAATCAGACTGCTGTTGGTTGTGAGGAATTCATCAGAACTTGGAGCTTGCCATACTTTAGGCTTGTTCACAACTTGGCTTATGTATCAGCAGGATTGATTCACTAGAAAAGATAGGCAGCTGGGTTATTGAGTGAAGTCCCCTAAGAGCAGTGAGAGGAGTATGGTCATTACCAAGGCTGCTGGGATGTTACTGTTTCTGGTGAGCTGTGGACATGACCATAAAGCAAATCCACCAGACTCCTGTGTTGCCACACATTTGTGTGGTACCAAGTCTGCTGGGAATAAAACTTTTAACGTAAGTCAAGGACACAATATTCCCTTCTGCTGGTAAGAGCAAGTTCCTGCTGAGGTGTAGGGATGTATCCTTGGGCACCTTCAACAGAAGCCATAGGGGAACAAAAGTTTCAGTTGGGAGATTTATAGACTGGATTCTGAAGCTCCTGCTGAGAGGGTGGCTCTTGGAACAGAAGCAAAAGAGGGAGACAAAGGCTGTACCAAAGGCTGTTCCACGCAATTTACACCCAAGGTGCACTAATCAAACCTGTACTAACCAAACCTGACTCCAGCTCCTAGGGTCTGCTGCCAAGTTGCTGTGTGTCAGAGGGGGATGAGAAACACCATGTGGGAGCTACAAAAGTAAGTGTGAAGGCAAGAGCACTTACAGAAAAGGCTGATACTGTAAAGAAATTGAAGGTCACTTCAAAGAGAGTTTGCATGGCTGAAAAACCAGCAGCTCTTAACGCGGTGACCGCATATTGAAATCCTCTGTGCAGGATGCCGTGGACACTCATGTGTGCTATGGTCTATATGTGAGGAGATAACAACTCTTGTAGTTAGGCCTCCTGGGCTGGAAATGGGCCTTATCCTGCTGCCTTTGGGGTTTTTTGATGCTGTTGTAGAGGAGAGAGTACTCAGTTCCACTCTGAAGCAAGAACTTGAAGCATGTGACATTATGGAAAAGGGTTGTTACAGTTATGGTTTGAGCAGGCTTGCGGCCCACGTTGCTGCTTGTGTGTCCAGAGAAGGGGAGTGGAGCTGGGGAAGGGTCTGGAGCACAAGTCTGAAGAGGAGCAGCTGAGGGAGCTGGGAGTGTTTAGCCTGGAGAAAAGAAGGCACAGAGGGAATCTTCTGTCTGCTTTGTACACCCACCTGACAGGAGCTTGGGGTGGGGGTTGGTCTGCCAATTAACAAGCAGTAGGATGAGAGGAGATGACCTCAAGTGGTGCTAGGAGAGGTTTAGATTGGATATTAGAGAAGTTGCTTGTATCTGGATTGAAAGTGCTAATAGCTATTTTTCCTCCCTTAGATCCTGGTGATGTTGCTGCAAGCCTGCTGCAAAGAAGTGCACAGCTGTTCCAAATGAAGAAAGAACCTTCTCTAGAGTGTTCATTGTAGTTTTTTTGGAATTAAACATTCATTTTAATAGCAGTGCATGTTGTGATTTGCCCTCCTGGAAGCTGTGGTGAAGGTGCCTGTTCAGTGTTGTAGAAGCCCCAGCTAAACAACTGAGAGTATAGAGGTGACTGGAAGTGGCTTGATCAGGTCTTTTCCTCACTTCTCCATCACTGAACTCACCTGTACCAAAGCCCTCCTTATTCTGTACAGAATATCACAGCATTTAAATAAAACTGGGGGCTCTGTATTGCAGCCTGGAGTTACTTCATGTTTCTGCACTGAAAAGCCAACAACGGGTTGAGGAAATTATGGCAGCTGATCAATCAACTGAGTTGCTGGTAGCAGAATGCAGGGTTGGTCTCCTTCCTTGATACTCTGAGAGAAGAACAAGAATATTGATGTGTATGAGCCTCAGCAGCCCTTGCACAATTGCCATGGTGAAGTTGAGACTCTCCATGCTTTACTGCAAATCCCAGAATTGAAAACAGCCTCCACTTGACTCCGTGGAGTTTGACAAGCTGGTTGTGGCTTATGGTGCACTGCTGCAGTACATGCAACTGCACCTGACTGAAAGAAAGGGGTGAAAAGAAGTGGAGTTAATTCATCAGAAATCTGCTTTCTAAGAGTTCCCTTGGGGCAGATTTAGAGGCTGCAAAAATGAGCACAGGACTGGAGGACCTGTGAAGAGGCTCAGAGTTGGAGTTTGGCCTGGAGCAGAGAAGGCTCCAGGGAAATTGTTATAGAGCCTTAAGCATTGCAGGGGGGTTGGGCCAGAGGACCTTTAAAGATCTCCCCACCCCCAACTATGTCATGATTTGCTGTGGTGCATTTAACCAGAATGAGCATTAATGAAAAGCCCTTGATAGTGCACCTGTTAATTAAGTTTACAGCAAAAGTCGAGTTTTGAATTTGTCCTGATGTGCTTCGCTCAGGAAACAGATAGAAAGCCTCTCTTTGGAAGAAGTAACATTTTTATTCTCCCATTCAAGTCCTTTAAAATGTACCTTGTGACTGCAGGAAACTATTTCTTAAATCAGAGAGTGCAAAGAACAAATTAAGCTCCAGCTTTACAGAAGAAATGTCCTATCACTGAAGGATTCAAATAACCTTAAAACTTTATTTGAAAACATTTTATACATGTATATTAAAAAACTTAGTATCTCTTTAAAATACTAACATAAGAAAGGTCCTTCAGGCCAGTAGCTCAATCTGAGACAAACTGAAAAAACAAACAGTCCCATCTGCTGCTGTGGTGAGATTTGAACGGGACTACAGTGTTTTGGGGTACTTGCATTTTCCTACAGCTTAAAGCTGAGGATTCCTGAATGGCACCACAATTCACCATTGAGGCTACACCACTCAGTGGCCTGGATTGTACCAACACCACTCTGTCCTCGTTGCTCAAAGTCTTTGCCTGTCATGGTGCTTTCCAAGTCTTCTTGGCTCGCAATTTTTCCAGCATTTTCTACAAATAAAACAAACCGTGAGACTACAGTACTGAAGCTGAAAGTGACTGCCCTAAAGCCAGCATGCCTGGGTACTGTGCCTGTAAGCAGAACATCACAATTGGGCAGTGCTGGTCTGGACAGCAGTGAGTGCAATGCCTCCCCTCTTCCAAAGAGGCCACAGATTCCAGGGCAGGGGGGAAGGGGTGCTTATTTCTCTTCTCTGTTAATGATGGCATCTATAAAGCAATGTAACAAGAGCTGCAACTGCCTCCACCACAAAGCAGGTAAGGTGGTTGGGGCTAAAGGCAGGAACTGGACCTGGATCCTGCACAGTTGTCAGAGCCTGTCAGGATTATCAAGCATTTTCTTCCTTTCAGTTGTCAGGCCCAGCAGGGAAATGAGAGAATTGCTAAATCCAGGCCTCTTGTTCAAACCTGTTCCACAGCAACTGCCATCAAAACATCAACAAGATTCTTGCACCATTTGGGCATGCCCAGGATCTAGGTAGGGTAACCAAAGCAGCCCAAAAAACAACAAACCCAGAATGTTGCCTTAAAATGGAAATTTGGTCAAGTCTGGATTAACAGAAAGGCTGCCATTCTTTTGCCAAAGGCTTTCCAGCAGCTGGAGGGTTTTTGCTCAAACTCGGGTCACAGAAAAATTCAGCCTGAGGCATACACGCTTTTTAAAGAAAATTTGAGCTTAGTTGCTGACAAGGAAATAATTACATAGGATGTACCAATGGTATTACTTAACATCCAGACTGGTTTGAGGGTCTCCATTTCAGCTGCATTCACACCACACCTCAGTTACTCTGACTGGAAGCTCAGTGAAATCATGAGACCAGAGGGCAAGAAGACACAAGCAAATTATTACCTTTTGAAACTCTTTAGCCTTTTCTCTGTTTTTAGCATAAGTTTCTTGCCTTGTTTTTTCTTCATTTCTGATTTTTACTTCTGCAAGCTGATTATAAAGTCTGTGAAAACAGAAAAAACACCATTAGTGTCTGGGCAGAGAGGAAGGAGCAAAGATGTTAACAAGGTTAACAAGCTTAAGAGTTGGCCCTGGCTCAGTTGTTAGCAAATGGGAAAATTTGACTGCACTCTCCAGTAATCCAGAATCACTTCAAATTCTTTTTCAGCTGCATCAGGCAAATGCCCTCCCTGTTCAAAGCTGCACTTGCTGCCTGTTACTGCTCCTACATGCCCAAGTGCAACTGTGAACTTGGCATTAAGTGGCACAGCTGCCTCAGCAGGTGACCTTAGTGCTACCTCTGCAAGGGCATTTCCCAGCAGGTACCTGCATCAAACACACCTGGCTCCTCTCCCACTTGTTCGATGTTAAGCAGCACTGGGTCCAGCCGAAAGAGCACAGACTGAGCAGCAGCTTTCACAAATCACAGATTAATTAAAAACAAAACAAAACAAAAAAGTAGGTAAACTCCCACTTATGTTTATGCAATACCTGGATGTATGCTGGTGCATTTCAATTTCTCCAGACTTCCTATTCTCTGGAGAAGATACTTTCACTTCTCCTACTTTTTTCAACTGATTGGCAAGTGCACCATTTTTTCCTAGGGGAAAAAAAGAAGCCAAACATATCTTAAATTTAAATCTTTAGTTCAGCTAACTCAAAACCAGGAGAGATTTACAAAGATTTTAAAATGACATGACAAAACCCAAAACAAGATAGCAGAATGGAAGCCACAGAGATGAGTAAAAATAAATCTTCCCAGTCTCACTCTTGAGGCTGCTGCCTGTGCTTTAGACCATCCATGGCTCTCCACAGCTGACCTCCAAGCCCCCAGGACCAGGGACTAGAGGTGCACCAGTTTGCTACACATGGCTGTTCTGTGATAAGCAGCTGTTGTTTGCAGAGGCACCTTATACTGATAAAGGTGGGCTGACTGTGAAATATGAAGAGCCCCCATAAGGGCCTTTACAACACTGAAGAGGCAACCAGACAGTGGGGGGAAAACAGAGCTCCCTGATTCCCTGAGAATACCAATTAAACATCCCAGTCTGCAATAGCAAACATGTAGCAAATATAAAATCTATTCTTTGATATAAACATCAATTGAAGGGATACCTGATGCTGTGTCTTGCCTCAGATAAACCTACCCGAGAGACCAGACTCTTTCTGTCTGCTTCTTAAATTCTCAGACTTTCCTCCTTGAAGCTTTCTTGCTTCCAGCTTTTCATTTTCTCTCTCCTTATTTTTTATTGCTTCTACTCTTTTCAGAGATTCCTGGATGAAATTTTGCTTTCTTTCTAAAAAAGATTTTTGTAAACTTCCAGGTGTAGCTGCAAATTCCAGTAGCATCACTGTGAAGGAAAAGAAGTCTCCCATTTCTCACTGTTAACAATGAGCAGCAAGTCATGCATTTCAAGGTACTTCTGAAATGTGATTGAGCACTTTTGTAAATGGTATGAGGAGAATGGCACTGAACAATGAGGCATCTTGCAGAACCAGCAGCAGTTCAGACCTATGGAATCCAGTAATGGATAAAGGTCTGCCCTGCTGTGAGATGTGAGATTTCTCACAAATGCTGTGAGAAATACTGCATCAAAAGCATCTGGATGCATCAAAACATACTGAAGACCTCACAAGTCCCTGACACAATTACATTCCATGAATTCCTGACCTTCACATTACTGCAGTTCATCTTGGACAAAAAAAAAAAAATCAGTATTTTACTACTCTTCCAGATTATCATCAGAATAAGGCAGGGGGGGAAAGGATAATTGTATAATTCCTTGGCTACATACTTGTAGGGGGACTAACAGAAAATGAGAAACAAATGAAGGTACATAAACTATGACAACAAATCAGAAAACAATACAAATTTTCAAAATTAAGTCATTACAACACCAAAGAAGGGTAGTGTAGAGATTCTGAAGATTTATGAGAGAGAACCTGGCCCAGGAAGAGACAAGTCCAGGTAACACACATTAAACCTCAGTCAAAGGTACTACAGACCAAGTCTGTACAGCAGGATGCACTTGCCTAAGTAAAAGCAGCTCTAAGTTTTCCAAATGAGAAAATTGTTGATGATTTTAATACTAAAAAATACTTTCAACTTCATTGTACTGAAGTATCACATAATTACCTGCAGTCTGATGTGATGGACAGTGATTCTCACTGGGACTCTGGGCTTTGGGAGAACTGTCAGGCCTTATGAATGCTGAATAATCTGTATCTGGAGCTAGTGGTAAAAATTCTCTCTCCTGTTTCAAAAGGATCAGTGATTGGATTTGGAAATGCTTAACACATACAACATATTTGAGTGAAGCAGTACTACTGCACCACTAGCATAGACTCAATGCAAATAAAAAACATGCTTTTGCCTTTATGCATGATGCATAGAAAAATCACAAATGGATCTTGGTAACAGGTATGAGAAAGCTGTTTTCTAAAAACCTTTCAAAACTTAAAAACAAACCAATGAAACAAAATAACCCAAACAACACCCACCCCCACCTCCAAACCCAAAGAACATCCATTAAAGACTTTTTGCCCACTGGATTTCAATTGCCAGGTTCTTAATACAGGCCTGAAATTCAATTTCTTTTCCTTTCCTCCTGCTTTCTCTGGTTCTCCCCATCACTGTCTTCCTGCTCTGTCTCTTCCATCTGCTTCCCAGAGGCAGGTGACACCCACTGCAGCAGTACAGCCTCCAACTGCCAATCTCCACCTCACCCATGTATCAACTACTTGATAAAAATCCATCCTTAAACACTTAAAGGAATTCCCTAGATGCCTCTTGCAATTAGTTCTTGATTTAATCTAATCTATTAATCTAAC